TCTGTCAAAAGTCTTAAATTATCTATCAAAAACTAATAGTTAGACATTATGCTTAATGATGAAATTTTAGAGGTACTCCTTTTAAAGTCAAGAACATAAAATTCAGAATCATCTCTCCCAAGTGAGCTCTTAAAGCTGCCTAGCAATCTCATTCTATTTCCCTCTTCTATTCACTTTTTCACTCTTTGACAGATGACTATGTCATATTTTCCTCTCTTCTCAAACCTCCAACACATACTCCCATTCTTCCTCATTCTCAGATGATGACCTTGGTTTCCACAGTCTAAGGCAAATAGAAACACTCAGATGAGAATTTGTTCAAGCTATCACTATCATGTGTCTATCCATGTATTTTGTCCTCTCCTATTTCTAGAGTAACCCTCCCTACTCCTAGTAAAGCAAAGGCTAATCCTACCAGTGCATAGATCAAGGGTCAGTAAACCACAACCCACGCTGCTTATGGTTGCTTTCATGCTACAATAGCAAAGCTGAGGAACAGAAACAGACTTTCTCACCCCAAATGCCAAAAAATACTTACTATCTAACCTTTAAGGAAGAAAGTGCTGACCTCATCACCCTTCTCCATATAGTCATGGACACTGCTGGCTGAAAGGACCCACTGAGGTTCAGTGCACAAGAAATGAAGTAAAATCCACACAAGACACAAAATAACACGGATATATCACACATACTAATAACAAAGAAAAGAGGCCAGGTCTCATATAAAGGACAAAGACTTTGAATGGCATAAGACTTTTCAACAACCATTTGAAACTGGAAAATCATAGAGTAATTCCTTAATTTCTTCTACCCAGGTGTCAGGATAGAAGAAAAATATTCTCAGCAATACAAACATCTCAAAAATTTCACCTCTCCAGACATTCTTTCTTGAAAGTTCCTAAAGGATGCATTTCACCAAAACAAAGGAGTAAATTGAGAGAGTGGAAGGTAGGGTTCCACAGAACACCGGCTCCAACACAGGAAAAAGACAGAATTCTCAGAATCATGATGAAGGTATGTCACAAGCTGTACAGCGTACGTGGAGAGCAACAGCGCAGATTTGAGCAAGTGGACTGAGAGCTCAAAATAATTCTCCCAATTAAAAAAAAAAAAAAAACTTAATACAGTGGGACAGTTTACAGAAAAAAGTAAAGACAAATCGGAAATTAAGAAAAACAAAAAAAATAAAAAATTTTAACTCCAAAAATTATAATCATAGGACACCGTAAGGTTCAACGGTAAACATATTTATGAAGTCATAATAATGTAAACAATGCACTGATTTAATCAAAAGCAAGACTATATTGGGAGGGAGGTAGTAGGAAAGAAAGTTCAAGGTGGCACAGGAATACTAAAGCACAGACTCACCTTCCACAGTAGGAAGTCAACAGACAACATCTAAAGTTGAAAAACAAACAGTAAAAATTAAAAAAAAAAACCTGTTTTTTAAAATATGGAAGTAGGTATCAGAAGAAATATCTAAAAGTATCGAAAATGGTTACTCTTTGAGAGCAGCACATGGGAGGAAAAGTCATAAAGAGACAAGGCAGAGGAGTGGCGTTTTAAGTTTTAAATACAGGTTATCTGAGTTCCCTTATTCAAAATGCTTGAGACCAGAAAAATCCAGATTTTGGATTCTGTCAGATTTGGGAATATTTGCATTGTCATTTGAACATCCCAAATTCAAAAATCTCAAATCTGAAATACTACAATGAGCATTTCCTTTGAGTGTCAATGTCAGCACTCGAAAAAAGTGTAAAATTTTGGAGCATTTTGGATCTCAGATTTTCAGATTTGGGATGCTCAACCTGTATAAGCCTTGCAGTACCATTTTCTTTTTAACTGCACAGTTATAATATTTAAAGTCAAATGTTAATTTTTAAAAAAGGAACAAAACCAATTATCTTCATATCACTTAATACCAATTAATTCACACACCCCACAAATATCTGAGCATTGTCTATGTGTCAGGTACGTTTGCTAACTAAGTCCTTGCCCTCACAAAGCTCACATTCTGCGAGGGAGGTAGATAAGAAAGAAATTAATATACGTATGGGTTAGTGTCACATAAATCGATGCTGTGAAGAGAAATAAAACAAAGTGAGGGCACAGTATAATAGGGATGCTCATTAGGTATAGTTTTCAGAAAAGGTCTCTGACAGAACTAAAGAAAATCAAACCGGCAAGGAAAATCTGTTCTGAAAAAAAAAAGGCCAGATAAAATAACAGAAGGCTATCAATTAAGTTCAAGATGAGAGATTCATTTTAAGACTCTCACACTCCAAAGCAATGTATTATTTAAGAGCCAGAACTAAAAGTTCTCTGTAGTGACATACACAAATAAATGCCAAGTCTCCTCAAGCTAAGTCATGTGAACAGTGTCATATCCATATATATGTGAATATCCTTCCTATATCCCTAACCCGCCATTTATTAAAGTGACTAAGTAAATTTATATTCAAACATTTTTCTTTCCATAGATAGGCAGCACACATTTTAAATTCCAGTGTTTTATTTCTATTATGTAGTTACAAGTTTTCTTAAATCAAAAGATCAAGACATTAATCAAAAGAGTCCAGATTAATTCCAAATTACTAAAATTTATCAGAGTCAATCTTCATTATCTCACTAAAGAGGAATCAATGGGAATGTAAGATACATTGAAAGAAACAATTTATAGGGCAATGCAGTATAGTCACTTTCCTCTCCAAGAAATCTCACTCAGGTTAAGGCAGTTTCAAGTTATTGGACTTATCTTTCATTAAAAACTGAGTAACTAGGCCGAACATGGTGGCTCACACCTATAATCCCAGCACTTTGGGAGGCCAATGCTAGAGGATTGCCTTAGACCAGGAATTCAAAAACAGCCTGGGGCAATATGGCAAGACCTCTACAAAAAAATCCAAAAAAATTGAGTAACAATAAAAAACAGTATTCAGATTGAAGTAACAATTTTATTCCAAATATAGTCGTTACACAATAAAAAAAACCTCATTCAAAAAAACAGGATTCGTTTTAATACATCTTATTCTCAAAAACTCATACTATTAAAATTAAAAGTAAACCCAAACTATGTGTCTACTTTATATAGCAAAAAAGTACTTTTAGAGAAAATTAATAAATATGTTTCAAATTTAACTCAAAAAGAAAACGAATGTGGTGAATTTAAATTAATAGTTAACGGTTTAAGATGTAAAAGTTATTTAGAAATTTCTAGAAAGGGTGACCTGTAGGGGACTGGTTCAGTCACAATCAGCCAGGAAAGAAAAGGTGGTATTTTTTTAAAGTTAGCCTAAAAAAACAAAACAAAACTTAGATTCCCTTTTAGATAAGTGCCAAGAGAGAATATTTTCAGCAAACATTTCATTTAACTATATAAACCAAAAGAATAAAGCTGTTTAAGCACATGTAAACTGTGCATCATCTGACTTCAAGTAGAATGTTTATCTTTAGTATACTTGGGAACCAGATACCCAATGTATATAAACATTGGCATATTTTTAAGACAAATGTCTTAGTATTTTTGTTCACTAAGTAATAATTCCCACTCTTCTCAGAAGGAAATAATATCCTTAACCAAAAAGCTATCAGAGAAGTTTTTGCTTCTTAAACTGTTAGATTAACATATTTGCCCTCTTACTACCTAGGCTCCATCGGGGACTGAGCAGTTTCTTTCCCTGTTGTAACCCACACATCTAGGGCACTGACTGGCATCAAGTAGGGACTCAATAAATTACGTGTAGAATGAATGAATGAACGAATGAACTGAGCCTCTGGACAAAAGCTTAAGTGTTTTAAGTTGTAACAGAGCAATTTCACTTTTATATCCATCATTTACTACACTCAGTTCTAATGACATGATAAACTGAAAAAGACATATATCAGGTATTTAAATATGCCTACAAATACATTACTCACATATGTATCTGATCCACAAAGTCATTTTTTTAGTTTTATCTTATTTCAGGAAATTTTGGTGTATTTTTTCTGACACTACAAATAAATATCAGAAAAGCACATTATATCTTGATAACTCAAGTGCTATCTTCAAATTCCCACTTCAATCTAGAAAAATTTAGGCACAACGAACAAATATTTCTAGAGCCCACCCAGAGAATTTTGGACAAATTTCTTGATTCAATGAAAGGTGGAATAGGGCACCACACTTCACGCCCAGTAGTCCCAGCTACTTGGGAGACTGAGGTAGGAGGATCATTTAAGACCAGAAGTTTGAGACCAGCCCGAGCAAAAGAAAAAGTTCCCCATTTCAAAAAGAAAAAAGGTGGAAAAAAGGCACATCTTACCATTTCAAAATTATGCTGAATTTTAAAAAGAGAAAATAAACTAGGTTTAAAATAAATTATGCTGAAATTATTTATTGGAAAGGGCATTAATGCCCTTACCAAGTTATTTCCCAAATCTTTGAAGCTATATGATAATCTTCATATCTACATATACTTATTTAAATGATACTGTTTGGATATAAGTTCCTTCACAATCCTAAAGATATTTAGCAGTAACATTAACACAATTATACTAGATTCTGCAGCACTTGTACAAACACAATTATCTCAGGTGGAACAAACTTTATGGCTAGCAAGCTATGATCTGTGTGACTGCAATCCCCTGCAAACACCAACTCCAAAGTTTCCCAAAATTCTGATGGTCATCTTCAAAGAAACCTGAACAAGAGTCGATCCAATGGTGGATAAAGAACAGCACCAAAGTCAATTCATAAACACTGGTGAGAAAACAAGGCTCTCTATAGCAACTACAGCGTGTGGGAAGAAAAGTGTTCCGGGCACCTACACGATAAAGCTCAGCTAATTGTTGCCGGTGTGTATTCACTTTATGGTCTTCAACATTACGCGTGAGATTTGTCTTAGCGCACAGAAATTTAGTGTTTGGATTGCCCCTCCTCCACAGCTAACATTCAGTGCCCTTTCTTCCTCCTCCCTCACCCCTCCCAGCTCAAACAAATTAACATTTGTACTAGGTACCTCCTATCAGCTCGCAGCTTCTTCCCAAACACGCCCACGTACACTGAAACTGGCCTCCGTCTACACCACACTCGGCTACAGGAAAAGAGCTGCGAGGGGGGCAGGTGGGGGGGATCGTTCCGCACCGCACAGGTTTTCGGCTTTTTTCCAGGTATCAGCTCCTCGCCTGTGGCTCGCGTTTCTCCCAAATCACCTCCAAAGCACGGTGTTGATGAACCTACCTAATCCGATACTGCAATGGAATTCCGGATATTTGCAGAGGGATCTCCCGGCTTTGCAAGTGCTGGATCAGATACGTCCAGAATCTCCTTTCATCCCGATCCGCCCGGCTCCGGGCTGGAGGGCCAGCTGAC